CGTATATGGCGAAGGGTTGTTTCAAGTACCTGTTCGTCGAACTGTGTAGGAAATGGTGCATCACCAAGCTGAGACATCCAATCTCATCGTAGTCCTCCTCGTCCTCGTCCTCCTCAACGTCGTACTCCGTAGGACCCTTGCCTGCATTGCTGGGAGTACGAACATAAGAGGTCCCACCAGCCATCGTGTCGGAGAAACCTGCTCGTGTCGGCATAGTGCTCGAGCGTAAGGAACTAGACAGGTCCGGGTCATAGGACATCTCCCACGGAGTATCCACGCAGCTGAGCTTCTGTGCCAGCTTCTTGCAGCTCCTCCTCACTTTCTGCAAAAAAAAGAAAGCACGGATGGATGAGTCATGGGAACCATTTAACCACTGTCATGGCTTTGAGAATAGAACGTACATCGACAAAGACGTGTAGAATGCCGCGCGGCTCCCCTCTGGTCTCGTGAAGTCGCACGGCTGCTTCGTTGGACAGACTTATCAACTATGATGCCTGCATACACAAGCGAGCTAAGTTCGTATCACTATGATTCATAGGAACGCCGACATGTAGTTGTATAGAAATTCAAATTTCTTACCACGTATCTCTGTAGCGGGGCTCTCTGAAGCTGTGTCTCCATCCTTGTCGTCTCGTCGTACGCATCAGCGATGTCATACTCGTCTTTGTCCTCATCAATTGGCTTGTTAGTGTAGGGGGCTGCATATGTGTGTGGGTACTCCTATGCAATCATTGGAGGTAGCGGTCGAAGTTGCGTTGGTCATGCGGCGGTATCTCGACGATCATGACCCTTCGCCGACTATCCTAGTCGTGGATGAACGTGGCGTGCGTCACGGCCCAATTCTTCTCCTTGTATATGTTCCTTCGATCGTACCTACAAGTTTAACGTAAGTTAGTGGTTGTATGTATGCACATGACTGCTAAATTATTATGTTTTAGTTATCGTACCCGTGCAATTTTCTGTTGGTTGTGTACAGCGGTGGTGGGCATGGCTGCAATCTTCCGAACTGCCTATACACCCTTATAGGGTAGTGCATCTCGACCACGTGGAAGAAAATTAGTGGCCCGTTAAAAAGCCACTCGTTTGACTCTTCCTCAGTGCGAGGACTCAGGTTCCCCTCTAGCTCGAATCTGGACCAAGGACACCAATTCACCTGAAAGTTAGGTAACTACAGTTAGGTTTTTGAAATAGTAAAAAAGCAACAACACCGACTAGCAGTATCAAAGTGGTCGTTACCTGGTGCTGTGTCAGGACGTCTAGCGTGTCCGAGTACTACCTGTACCGTCGCTTCGGGTTCCGTCTAACTACCTCCGCTTCTTGCCAGACGTAAAGAGCAGTCGGTCCTACGTCCACGTGATTCCATGCCTGCATTGAATAGCATAGTCAGTCACAAGTGCAGCATCAAGTTTGAGGAAAATAAAAAAAATGATACACTTACAGGTAAACCGTGAACAACGGGCCTCCCGACTGGCCATCGCTCTCAACACCAAACCTGTATTAGGTGGGAGCAACCTCCTAGGTTGGCACCTCCTATACTGAGTCGGCAGGCAACGCAGAGCTGACGATAGATCCATGCTAGGACCGCGTTGTCCCAGCTGTACGCTCCTATATTCTCCCATGGCTGACTCAGTATGTTGAGGAAGGCACAGCTGATGGTGTTACCCGACATGTCGGGGAACAGGAAGACGCCTAAGAAGTGCCACAACCACACCCTAGCATACCTCTTATCTCCTGCTCTAGAGCGTCTGGGTGCAGCGACGCCCCGAAGTTTTCTGTTATCTAGACCGAACTGACACCGGATGTTTTCCTAAATTTTTTGAAGGACAATTACATAAGAGCTGAGGGAACAAAAATAAACATTAAATTAGACAAAGACAATACGCATCATAAAAGTTATCTACTACACTCTCCATTTAAATAGCAAAATAATTTGCAGAATATGTAGATCAACGACAGACTTAGACCATAATATATATTTGTGATATAAGAGACCAACCAAAGACTTGCATGTGCTGGTGTCAAAATGGTAAATATTTGGAACGTAGACACAGAACTGCTCCACCAAGTCCATCCAGTGATCGTTATCAAGGATCCCAGTCACTGGAAGACCCCCCAACCGCAGACACAGAATCATCTTCACGTCTTGCATCGTGATAGTCATCTCGCCATAAGAAAGGTGGAAGGTGTGGGTCTCTAGCCTCCACCTGTGGGTTTTTAATTCAATACAAGAAGTTCTTTAATTCAAACAATGAGATAAATCAATGCTTTGTTCTTCACCAAACTGTATCAAATCATACCTATCGATAGCAGCAGTGAGAAGTGCAGGGTCGAGGATCGATAGCCCGTGTTGAAGATCCGGACGATCTCAAGGAAACCGGCATGTTGTATGTACGACCGGTATCGCTCGTCCCAGCGGTGCGGCTGGTGCGTGCATAGTCTAAGAGATTGCAAGTCCTCCTGAAGCTCTGACAGGTACTGCAGATGATGATCCCCCATCTTGGTTCAAATTTTAAATGGATGTGTTAGAACAAACATTAAGAGTACTATAATATGATGGAACATTAGTGTATAAAAACAAAGTAAATGTAAATAGAATAAACTATACAAACTAATCTAATGTTAACACCTGTACTAACTATTCTAAGTAACTATAATAACTAACTAAACTAGACTAACTATAATAACCACGTACACTAACTATATAAATATTAGTACCTATACTAACCAATCTATTATTAATACATATTCTAGTTGTAATAATAAAAAACAACTAACTAAATATACAACTACAAACTATAGTACAACCACAATAATCTCATCACATTCCTAACCCTAACTAATCAGTCAAAAAAAATTAAATCCTAACCCTAACTAACAAATATTCGAATCAAGCTACACAATGGAGAAAGAATTACCTTGACACTGGCTGTGGGGAAGATTGGGCTCACCCCAAGGTCGGCACAGTGCGGCGGGCGGGAGCGCCGGGCGGGGCGCGTCGGACGCGGGTGCGCTGGGCGTGGCGGGCGGGCGGGCTGGGAGTGGCGGTCGGGCGCGTGCGCGTTGGGCGTGGCGGGCGTGGCGTGGCAGGCGGGCGCAGGGCATGGTGGCGCGACGGCGGGCGCCGAGTGAGACAGAGAGAGAGAAAGGAAAGCGAGGCCGGGTACAAGGGGTTGTCGCGACGTGATGCGTGGCGCGGCAGCCCCGTGCCGTGATGCGTTGCACGGCAGGCCCGCCGCGCCGTGACGGGTGGCGCGGCAGACCTGCCACGTCAGCGGTCGCCGCAGCCGTTGACTGCCCCCTGCCGCGCCCCCATGTATGGCGCGGCAGCTTGAATTCGCCGCGTCGTGCGAATAGGCGCGGCAAAAAGTGTTAGATTTTTAAAAAAAATTAAACAGTATCAGATTTAAAAATAGTTTTAAAAAGTGTTAAAAATAAAAAAAATTCACCCGTGGACCATTGGTGTGGCGTGCTGCACTGCTGTGGGCCGAAGATGTTGCCCGGCCAGATAGTACCGCGCGCGTGTCAACGGCACCGCCAGTAGTAACATGTCCGGTACCGTTCCACACGTACTGATAGCAGCTAGCCTCTCTTCTCTAGCCAGATAGCACTCGTATACTACTCCTGAGGTACGGTGCCACAGCGGCAATAATAACCCTGTTCGCTTGATCGGCTTATAAGCCGGTTAATGTCGTTTATTTGTGAGAGAAAAACATGATACGATCGAGTGAATAGGGTGAATGTGCGTGCATGTGCTGGCTATCAGGCTATGCTTCACAAAAACCACAATGGCCCCGAACATTGCAGGAGGAGTACTGTCATATGTGCATCGTGAGTTGGTGAGAAAAACATCATTATTATGTAGGAGTGCTACTATCCGAACAGAATTTCAGAGTAGCTGGTACGGTCTTGACTCTCGGCAATGTCTTCCCTTGCACGCGAATGAACGGAGGCAGTTGGCACAGGCTGGGCCGGGCCGGGGTCCCGAATCCCGATCGTGTGTAGGTGACGAACGAATGATCCTCTCTTCCTCTCCACTAGAAAGCAACGCGCGGCGTTGCCGCGCGGCCGCGTGGGGTGAAACCAGTTGTGTAGAAACTGAATCTAATGTTGGGCCTTGTTTAGTTCTATTTGATACTGTAGTACTTTTGTTTGTATTTGATAATTATTGTTTAATCATGGCATAACTAGGCTTAAAAGATTCGTCTCGTAATTTACGATCAAACTGTGTAATTAGTTATTTTTTTATCTACATTTAATACTCTGTATATGTCCAAAGATTTGATGTGATGGAGAGAGAGTGAATCTAAACAAGGCCTTGATCTTTTACTTTCTGAGGATAAGTAGCACAACTGTACATATGCTTTAACTGTACAAGGTCTTTTAATATTTTGAGCAGAGTATACAACAACGGATGTTAATGATATATATTGTGTTAGTCATTAAGCAATTTTCATATAAACTCCAGAATCTCCAAGTTTCATATAGTTGATGTGAAATTTTGAAAATGGGCAACAACAGTCATAGACGTGTTTATTTGCGACTACCAGCACATGCCTGGATTTTAACCGGTGGCAATAAACCTTTGTTTGATCTAGTTTGTCAAATATTATACGGATGCCAATTGGGATTTGGAGTATGAATATCTAAAAGTAAATGATAAGAATACTTCTATATGTGAAATGGATATAGACGGAAAACTAAATCGCTAATGCTAAACATTTGAAGTTGCACTAATTCATATGATATTATATAGCTACTGCATAGATCTAGTCATGAGAAACTCAACAAAGCTTAATTTTTCATTTTACGATTTTTCTGTGATTTTGTATAGAATTTAGAACTTTCAGCTGATTAAAACATAAAAGAAAAAAGGAAAACCTTAGAACAAACTCTTTGCACCTAGTTCCCTGTACTTTTTGTCAATCAAATCGCACTCCCATGTACCGTGAATAACAATTCATACGATTCACGAGATTTGCATTGGGAACATGGAAAAGTTTCTATTCTTTTTTCCTTGCCCATGAACGCTCAGCAGAGCAGACCCATTCCTCGTTGCCATATCTATATTTTATCTGAATTGTAGGGTTTATACGAGAGAAAAGTATACGAGTGAAAGAAATAACCTGCAGAATTCCCATTTCGTGCCAGCTGTTTACAATGCCATCCATATAGGAATAACTGACAAAAAAGCAAACTATGCCATCTGGAACAGCAGAAGCCATTTCCAGCAAGAGGCGGCCATAATTCCTCACAACACCAGGATCACTATGCATATCGAACTTTGTACTCACAGGTAGCTGATCACTGAAAATGATGAATGATTGATGTTTACACAAAAGTGTACACTGGTACCAGTAATATGAAATATTGGAAACAACTAAAGCTGTCATAAAAGCTTAAGATAAGTGTCATATGATCCTCAGGGATAAAAAGGTATCATGCATATGCAATACAGTGTTAACATTTTCAAACCTAAGAATATGTTGGCAATGCTAACATTTATAGACCCGGATGCTACAGTAAATTTTGAAATATGAAGTTCATATGGGACCAGCTCATACCTTCCTCGAGTCAAGACCATGGGACAAATACAATCTCTTGTTAAGGACATTGTGAAGCTTTTGCTTATGACAGGATTAAAATTCAAGAGACGAGGATAAAGATCTATTGGGCTCAGAGTTCCGAAAGTGATCACAACCGTTTCGAAACGATCAAAAACAGGTCTTATTGTGAGTGAAGCATCATGGCAACTCAGCTGCAAAACAGATGAGCTCATTAGTAGCACATTAAATAAGATGTGGTTATAATTTCATCATGATGTGCCCTGTTCACTTGGCTAATAAGCCATGACTAAAGGTACCGTTGGTTGATTTGTTGTGAGAGAAAAATAATATTCGTTGGCTGAAAAAGTACGGCTTATAGGCCAAGCGAACAGTAAAGAGTAGTATGGGTACCTGAATAAAAGGATCACGAAAATCAGGCATTCTCTCGTCATACAGCTTTATTATAATAGAAAAGTCCTGTGTATAAGTTCCAATCAGTATGACAAAGTCACATATGGTCTGTATGTGCATGAACTCATCTGTATCAGTTATCTCTAATGTCATCATTAGGGAGTGTAGCCGATCATAACAAAACCTCAGCATTTTTTGGTCGATTCCAGCCTGGGAGTGGATTGAAGCAACAAAGGAAACAGGCATTTCATTCTCAACGTTTTCTGTTTCAAGCCGGCCATCAAGGAATCTGACAAGCCTCTGCAAGACAGCAAGACCCTCCTTATATTTCTAGGAATAGCTTCCTTCAGGATGTCATCAGGCAAAGCCGGATTCGCGAACCAGAATCCGACACTTCATCACAAGAAGCATAATACTGTGAGCTATCTGCGGAAGGCCATAGCTAACAGTGCAAAATGCAGTACTAGTGGCAAAAGGCAGTGCTTGGTAGAGTTCCTCTCTGCGCCAGTCCATCCACCAGTCTGTTGTATTCAGCGCGAAGCCTGTTGGCATCCGTGGCCATGAACCTTCCTACCAGATAAAGCAGTTAGCAAGCAAGCTTAATTACTCATCACAAAGTTGAAGTCGGATAGTTTTAAAGAAACAGAACCTAGGGCCTGTTCGCTTGTCTTCTGATCCGTATTTTTCAGCGTATTTTTTTAGTCGGAATAGTATTTTTCTCTCACAACAAATCAACCGGAACAGTGTTTCGGCTTGTTTTTTCAGCGAAGCGAACGGGGCTGAACTTAAATATATTCAACAATTGAGAGTAGTACCTGTCCATCTCTTGCGAGATGCGCCGCAGATTTCGCTCAGCGCCTTCCAGCGTATGCTGACGCTCAGCTCCTATATAGTCTGTATAATACAGACATTGTCGATGTTGTGAGCCTCATCGAAGATGACCACACATTCCTTCTGCATCTCCCTGGACAGAGTTACTGGCGAGGAAGTAGGGGTAGACCCAGCGCTCCCTCCCGAGCGCGCGGAGGTCGGCCAGGATGTACGGAGGGAATGCCGGGTCTACACCACGGGCGGCATGAAGGAGGCTAGGTCGTTGACGGTAGCGGCCCGGTCGAACGCCTCGTAAAACTCGCACAACGGGGTGGAGTCCGGGTCGGAGGCGGCCTTTTCGCGGACCCAGGAGGCCGTGAGGCCGCGGCGGCGGACGCCTGCGAATGGACGCAGAGGTTCTTGCGGGAGGAGAGGTCGAGCGCGAGGAGGGAGCAGGAGGCGACGGGCGGGAGGTGGGTGATGAGGGAGATGAGCGCCGCCGTCTTGCCAGTCCCCGTGGGCATCTCGAGCCGTGCGCCGAGTCCAACTCGCTCGCAAACCGCCTGCGCCGGGGTCGCCGGCCGAGATGGCCAGGAACGCAGCGCCCGCGGCACCCGCGCCGGGGAGGAGCAAGGTGCGGGAGTCGCCCGCGAGCGGGTTCGCGACGATTTGCGACCATCCAGGTTGACCCGAACCGATCAGCATCTGGGTTGATCTGGGTTGACCCGAACCGATCCGCAATCGGACGGTTCATACTACGAGATCGCCCGATCCGACGGCTCGTGGGTTATCAGATGACGTGGATATCGGGTCTGCCCGAACCTTGGCTCCGGATTAGAATTATAGAGATTGATTGATGAAACATGATGGAACAGGAACCGTGATTTTTCTTGTGCGATTCTGGAGTGTGGTGCGGAGTCCCCGGTGATGGACAGGGTAGTTGGACCACGACCACTCCCCTGTCCATGCGGCCAGGCCATGCATGCTTCATCATGATCCTATCCCGATCCCTCGGACCCAATTTTTTATAATTTGGCCCCTTTTTTGAAGAAAAATTACGTTTGGCCCCTTGGAAGACGTAAACACATCTTTGGACCCTAGGGGTCGGCGCCAGGACTCATGGCGTCGAGGTAACACGTCTCGGCGCCACATATCTTGGCTCCGATGTGCCTGGCCGAGCACAGCCGGGCAGCCTAGGTGGTGTTGATGTGGCTGGTACCTCAGCGCCAGAATACATGGCGCCGAGCTCGGCGCCATAGATTTTGGCGCCGAGCATGCATTCAAAATCCACAACCAAGTTTCCCTTGCTGAGGCTGCTCTCGTTTCTTGCTCCTCCCTCTCGGTTTCTTCATCTCCCTAACCCGCCAATCTCTTGAATCGACAAATTTGACCTTGGATACTTGGATTTGATCCATACATCTTCACGAGCAAGGTATCCACTCCCCCCTTATCATTTTTACGCATTGATTTGGTATATATTACGTCTATTTTGTAACCCTAGATACGTTATTACCTAATGTTTGAAGTGATTTTTTATTTTTTTTGTATTATGTAACGGTAGGAGTGGCGGCTGCCCGGCAATGAGGACGCGCCGTCATTGCCTGAAGGTTACGTTGTGTCTTTCGCTCACTTCCACGAGCGGGGATTCACCACCCCTGCCCACAAGTTCCTTTGGGGTTGCTGCATTACTACAATGTGGAGCTACAGCACCTTACTCCCAACAGGATCCAACACATTGCGGCATTTGTTGCCCTATGTGAGGGGTTCCTGGGGATTAGTCCCCACTTTGACCTATGGCGGCACTTCTTCGCCGTCACCCTCCTCAAGAAGCGGGAGAAGAGGCAAGAGCTGAGCGTGCCGATGGGATGCGCCGGCATTCAGCTCCGCAACAACCGGGTAAACGAATACCCGCTGATGCATCTGTCGACCTCCAACAAGGGGTGGTATTCGCATTGGTTCTACGTCAAGGACGACGCAGCCGCCCCCTTGCTAGTGTTCACCGGGCGCCTCATCAAAGAGGTCTCGAAATCATGGAGGAAGTGGGGGTTGCCGAAGAAAGATAAGAGGAGGATCTAGGACCACCTTGCTGCCATCCGCATCCTGGAGGAGAGGGGCATGAAGGGATCGGAGATCATCGGCGCCTACCACATGCGGAGAGTGGCTCCGCTGATGAGGCGCGCGCTTCCCCTGCACATGATGGTACCTGAGGAGGCGCTTGACGGGACAGCGCTCTTCGAGGGAGCGCTCTCCCCCTCTGAAGTGGCGCGTCACATTATGGAGGCGATGGAGCCTTCATGGGACGGCGCCGGCACCCCTCTTGATTTTGTGTATCCGGTGCCGGGGCATCCCCCAATGCAGCCAGAACCGGGGTACATTGACTTCGTAAGTTCTCTTTCTCCGTGCCTCCTTTTTAATTGAACTCCCGACCCCTTGATGCTGATATTGAGATAGCGGGACCAGCCGAAGAGACTCATCTTTATGGATCGCTCGACCCTGCTGCCGAAGGACCCACTCGTGGCGGCGGCGAATCGCACTGCGCCCGAGTGCCAGAAGAAAGCCAAGGAGGACGAGAGGAGGAAGAAGCAACAGAAGTTGCGGGCACGGGAGCAAGGAGAGGAGATAGACAGTGATGACGACGACGATGAAGATGACGAGGTAGTTGCTGACACTGAGTGGGACGACCTGGCGAGCAAGGATACGCTGACAAGTATACACTCGTCTGCGCAGGGGCCTTTCCCGTTCCACACAGGGGAAAGCGCGTCCGTGAGGCCGGCGGAGACGGACCGAACCGTTGGCCTGCCCCATGAGACAGCAGGAGCGGGTGGGCCTGCCACTGCGCCCGTGGTGCCGGCACAAGGGGGTGGCCTTGTCGCCGCACCTCAAGAGCTATCAGGCGCGGGCGGATCTGTCGTCGTGCCCTAGGTGTCGGTGGAGGGAGGTGGACCCACCGCCGCACCCTCGGAGGCACAGGAGGTGAGCCCCTCTGCCCGGGAGTAGGGGGCAGGCTCAAAACGGTCCTGCCCTGACGAGGCAGAGCAGAGACCTAGGGGTTCGTCCCCCAAATGGCCTCACCCAACAGCGTCGATGTAAGCCATCAGTTCCTCTGCTTTTTCTCTATTTTTCTCTGTTTTTGTCGTGACTCATGCTTTTTGTGTTCTTGCAGCGTCTTAAGGCTGTGCGGTTTTTTGGTGGTGCCACCCAAGAAGAGCGTCGCCATTCAGGCGAGACGGGGGCCATCGCCCGACATCGCTCCTATTTCAGGCGAGAGTAGAGCCGATGTTGCGGCCTCATCAGCCGGTCAGGCACCACCCGTGCCCTCGGCGGGTCAAGTGGACGTCGGGGCTAAAGGAGCGCCCTCGGGGGTCCCCGACCAAACAACAGCGGAGGTGATTCCGCTGCCTACGTCGAAGCGGACGGAGCTACCGCTCGCGTTTGTGGTGCCATCCGTGGTGGGTGCGGCGCCGCAAGTTGAGGCCTCGACGTCGTAAGCGGAGGTGGGTGCGACCGTGATAAGCCAGGCATGGCAGGATGCAGCCACGGTGGTGCCCAAGGAAGCGACGCGATCCGTGCCATCGGTGGCCCATGCGACGGCGCCCGAGGCGGGTTGGACGGAGGGAGGACATGGCCGAAGGGTCCCCGGGCATCATGGTGGTGGTGGAGAGGACCAGTAGGGGTTGCCCTTGGCCCTGACGTCGGGGGGCAGCCGCTCGCCCACGCGGGGTGAGTCGCTGCTCCAGTGGATGGATCCTCCAGATCCAACGTTGATTCTCTTCTCGCTCGATGATGCTACCGAGAGCATAGAGCGGGAGAGTCTCAATGAAGGGATCTCGGCTATGATGGATGTCCTGAACCAGGCCAGGGGCGTCCTGTGTGACGTCATCATTCGTACTGTCCGGGTATCTGCTTAATCTCTCCTCTCCCTTTCTTCTTTCTTCATGTATTTTTGTGTTTTTGATATTGATATTCTTTTCAGTCCCTTATCGCTCGTAGCCGGGAGAAATCCTGGTTCCTCCATGAGCAGAAGGTGGAATGGGACTGCCTCACCAAGGAAGCCCGACTGTGCAGAGATGTGAGCGCCCAGCTTGCTGCCGCCCAACAGCGGGTGGTTGAGCTGACTCCCTTGGTCGAGGAGGCGGCCGGTCTGTAAGGAAAATGGACCCTTGACCCATTTACTTTGGATTTTGGTGTTTGATGACCAACACAACCAAATTGGACTAATGAATTTGCAAGTGTTTGTTTTGTAGTCCAATAGGGTGCAAGACGTGACTTGGACGAAGGCGACATGATGATCTGATGATCAACACCTCAAGCAAGACCTTAGAAGCACAAGAAAAGACCCAAGATGTCCAGCAAAGTCCAAGCATGAAGATAGAAACCAAGCCGTGCGCAAGATCGCAAAGAAACGAGCTCGTAGAGGCGACCGGACACTGGAAGTGCGACCAGACGCTGGACCGGTGGCTCGGCAGACAGGCGACCGGACACAAGGACCGGACGCTGGCGGCAACCGACCGGACGCAGGAACGCAGCGTCCGATCGAGTACAGAGAGGTTCCAGGCACGCGAAACTACGACCGGACGCTGGCAGCGTCCGATCGGTAGTTCACGACTACAACGGTCGGGACGACCGGACGCGTCCGGTCAGGACGATTCAGCGTCCGGTCAGTAGCAGATTTGCGGGAGTTCGACCCCAACGGCTACTTTCTCAGTGGGGCTTATAAATACAACCCCCAACCGGCCATTTGA